AAACACATTACATCTGATACCACAGAAATACAAATGATCATCAGAGACTATTACGAACAACTAAACACTGAAAATCTGGAAAACCTAGAGGAAAATGATAAATTCCTGAGACCATACAAGGTATCAAGATTAAATCAGAAAGAAATAGAAAATCTGAATAGATAAATAACAACTGACAAGATTTAATAAGCAATAAAAAATCTTCCAAGAAAGAAAAGCTCAGGACTGGATGAATTTTCAGCTGAATTCTACCAAACATACAAAGATGAAATAACATAAGCCGGGCTCGGTGGCTCAGCCTGTAATCCTGCACCTTTGGGAGGCTGAGGTAAGTGGATTGCCTGAGCCCGCAGGTTCGAGACCCGCCTGGGTAACTTGGCAAGACCTCATCTCTACAATAAATCAAAAAATCAGCCGGGCATGGTAATGCATGCCTGTAATTCCGGCTACTCGGAAGGCTGAGGCGGAAGGATCACCGGAGCCCAGCAGGTTGAAGTTGCGGTGGCCGGGAGCGGCCACTGCACTCCAGAGTGAGACTCCAACTCAAAAAAAAAAAAAGAAATAACATAAATTCTCCTGAAATTATTTCAAAAAATTGAAGAGAAGGGAATTCTCCCTAAGTCATTCTAAGAGGCCAGCATCACCCTGCTACAAAAACAAGACAAGAACAAAATTAAAAAATAAAACTACGGGCCAATATCTCTGATGAACATAGATGCAAAAGTTCTTAAAATTCTAGCAAACTGAATCCAATAGCACATCAAGAAGATAATACACCACAATCAAGTGTGATTTATACCAGAGATGTAAGGATAGTTCAACATATGCAAATTGATAACTTTGATACATCACATCAACAGAATAAAGGACAAAAACCATATGATTATGTCAATAAACACAAAAAAAGCATTTGGTAGAATTCAACATCACTTTATATTAAAACCCTCACCAAACTTGGCATATAAATAACATACCTCAAAATAATAAGGGTCATAGGTGACAAAACCATCACTAACATCATGCTAAATGGGGAAAAATTGAAAGCTTTTCCTCCAAGAACAGGAACAAGACAAAAATGTCCACCTTCAACATTCCTTTTCAACATAGTCTTATGGAAGTCCTAGCCACAGCAATTAGGCAAGAGAAAAAAAGGCATCTAAATTGAAAAAAAGGAAGTCATCCCTCTTTGCTGATGACATAAACTTATATCTGGTAAAACGTACAGATTTCACCAAAAAACTCTTAGATGTGACAAATATATTTAGTAAATTTTCAGGATACAAAATCAACATACAAAATGTTGTGAAATACTATTCACAACAGCAAATACATGCAATATTAGTAGCATTTTTATGCACCAATAGTGATTTAGTTGAGAAAGAAACTGAGAAGTCAATCCCATTTGCCATAACAACAACAACAACAACAAAAAACCTAGGAATAAATTTCATGAAGGAAGTAAAAGATCTATATAAGGAATACTACAGATCACTGATAAAATAAATTGAATATTACATAAGTGAATGGAAAATCATCTCATGTTTGTAGATCAGAAGAATTAATATTGTTAAAAATTCCATATTGTCCATAGTAATCAAATTCAATGCAATTCTTATCAAAATACCAATGTCATTCTTCAAAGAGTTAGAAAAAACAATCCTAAAAGTCACATGGGACAAAAAAGCCATGAATAGCCAAAGCAATCCTGAGGGAAAAATAAAGTTGGAGGTATCACATTACCTGAATTCAAAATATATTATAAGGCTATAGTAACCAAAGCAGCAGTATTGGTATAAAAAGAGACACATAGACCAATGATCAGAATAGAGAACCCAGAAATAAACCACGTATTTACTACCAACTAATTTGTGACAAAGTCAACAAGAATTTGCATAGGGGAAAGGACACCCTGTTTAATAAATGGTGCTGGGAAAATGGGACAGCTACATGGAGAAGAATGAAACTGGATCCTTATCTTTCACCATATACAAAAATCAACTCAAAATGAATTAAAGACTTAAACATAATACCCCAAACTATATAAGCATTAGAAGAAAACATAGGGAAATAAACTCTCCTGGACATTGGTCTAGGCAAATAATTTATGACTAAGATCTCAAAAGTACAGGCAACAAAAACAAAATGAGAGTTAGCTAAGCAAAAAGCTTTTGCATAGCAAAAGAAATAATCAACAGAGTGAAGAGACAGCCTCTTAAATGGTAGAAAATATTTGCAAACTTCTTATTCAAAAGGGGACTGATATTCAGAATATGCAAGGAACTTAAACAACTCAACAGAAAACCCCCCAAACAATTCCACTTACAAATGGGCAAAGGTCATGAATAGACATTCCTTAAAAGACATACAAATGGTTAACAGGTGTATGAAAAAGTGCTCAACATCAATAATCATCTGGAAAATGCAAATTGAAGCAAAATAACTGATACTGGTGTGGATGTGAAGAAAATGGAACTGTTATACACTGTTAATTACTACAGTCATTAAGGATAATAGGATGGTGATGCCTCAAAAGGAAAGAAATAAAGAAAACTATATACAATCCAACAATACCACTACTGATTTATTACCTATTTATACAAAGGAAAGGAAATCAGCATATCAAAGGGATACCTGCAGACTCATGTTTACTGCTGCAGTGTTTACTATAGCCAAGACATAGAATCAACATGAATGTCCATCAACAGATAAATGTATAAAGAAAGTGTGTTATATATACGCAATGTAATACTGTTTGGCCACAAAAATGAAATCCTGCCCTTTGTAACAACATGGCTGTAACTGGAGGTCATTATGTTAAGTGAAATAAGCACAAAAAGGCAAATCTCTCATGTTTTCATTTATATGTGGACCTAAAAAATTTGATCACATGGAGGTAGAGAGTAGAATGATAGTTATCAGAGACTGGGAAATGTTACCAGAATGATAGATAGTAGAATGATAGTTATCAGAGACTGGGAGGAAGGGGGCGGATAAAGAGAAGTATGAAGTCTGACAATCAAGTTTGCCATCTCATCCTAGAAAAGGTGCTACATACCCTCATTGCTAAATATCACTACAGTCACCTTCGAAGTCCTCTCATTGGAAAGCTATGCACTGACACCAGTGCCTAGTTCACCCATCAAAGCAATTTTGAAACTTTTTCTGTAATGACCATCAGAGCTGTTGTCATATTACCCTTGATGTTTTGAATGTCATCAAAATGTCTTCCTTTCAATATTTCCTTTATCTTCAAGTAAAGAAAAGAGTTATTGGTGGCCCGATCAAGTGAGTAGGGAGAGTGTTCCAATACGGTTATTTGTTTACTGGCTAAAAACTCCCTCACAGACAGTGCTGTGTGAGCTGGTGCATTGTGATGCAAGAGCTTCTTTGGGACCATCTTTACACACACCTTTCTCATGCCAAGATTTTCAGTTAAGATTTTCCTGTTTCTCTCTTGATGTTTATTTGGTCTGCTGTGCTTCTCATGGTCAGCTGACGATTTTGACATACAATTCAATGGATTTTTGCAAAGTTTTCTTCATCAGTTCTGCTCATTACTGGCTGTCCTGACCACTCTTCATCAGTGACGCTTTCTCTCCCCTCAGAGAAATGTTTAATCCATTTGGACACTGCTGTTTTCTTCATGGCATTATCCCCATAAACTTGGTCTAACGTACTGATTTCACTTCCATTCTTGTCAAGTTTAACAAAAAGTTTAATGTTTGTTTATTGCTTTAATTCAAGCTCCAAAATGACACACAAAAACATGCAACAACAATAATAAATGCCACTCAGCAAGACACCACCACACATTGACACGATCACAGCTGTGAGAAATTGATAAACCAAGGTGATGAAACCTTACAGAGTTGTTTGTACAATGCTGCCAATGTAAGCACATGGTGGCAAGTTCACAAACTTAACTGTCAGACCTTGTAAGTTAAGGGGTATACATATTAAGACAGAAGAAATAAAAAAAGTTAACACAGAAGAAATAAACCTAGTGTTTGACAGTAGGGTAGAGTGACCATAGTTAATAAAAATGTATTTTGCTTGGGTTATGGGCATTCTAAATACCCTGATTTGATCACTTGTTCACAATTTATACATGTAATAAGATTTTATGTGTCTCATCAATTTGTAATGATATAAAAAAGAAAGTGAAGCATCAAAAAGGCATCCTCCTGCTGGTTTTAGAGGAAGAGAACAAACATCATGTGAACTGCTTATAGAGAGGGGCAACTTCTAGGAACTTAACACTGATCCTACCTAGCAGCTAGCCCGCAACCTAAGACCACAATTATATAGCAGCAAGGAGCCTAATTCTGCCAAAACAACAATGAAGATGGAAGAGTCCTCTGTGCCCCAGATGAGAACTGCATCCTTGACTAACACCTTGATTACAGCTTTTTGAGACCCTTAGCTAAGTTCCCTATTAGGCCATGCCCAAACTCCTGACCAGTGAAAGTGTGAAATAATAAATGAGTATTGTTTTAAAACACTAAGTATGTGGTAATTTGTTACACAGCAACAGAAAATAAAGTCAGCATGCTTCTTGTTTCTGGGTGGATAGAGATATGCAGTTGTCATTCAAGTGTAGACAGTGCAGTCTGTTTCCTGGCCTGCAGCCCTCATGTTGGTTATGTTCTGCCCTCATTCCTTCAGTGGTATTAAATCCCAGTCCTGTCCAGTTCTTATGAGTGATACGGTGTTAATACCCTACTCCCTCACTTCCATCATACTGTGGGTTGCTTGTCTATTTCTAGACCATTGACAATTTACTTTATTGTTTAATGTTATGCATTCTTAAAAAGATTATTTGAAATATTATATTTATAATCTTTGTATATTTGAAGTTGAAGGGGTATATTTATGCCTGTATGTCATTTGATATATAGGCCTAGAAGTCCTAAAGCACTTAAAACAGTAAGAATCTTCAACTTGCAATAAATAAGCCAATACAATAGTTTAAGTAAAATGGTATACTGTAAATGCTGTACCTTGGAGGAGCCAGGGTCTGCTCTAGAAACTCCTCAATTTTAATGAAGTCTGTTTTCAATTCCTTATTATACACCAGGAAGGGAGGATTGGTACCTGGTGCCAAGTCCTTCAGCTCTTCAGGCTTTCTATGATTATTAAAAATAAACAGAGTTACGCCTCTAGATAAAGTACACATTATTCAAACACCAACATCAGTATATGTCTACTGATCTCAATTCTCAGAATTTAATGTTCTGATTTCTCTTACCTGGTCATGTCAACAGTAGTCACATTGAATTTCACTCCTTTAAGCCAGAGGATCATGAAAAGACGTTGGCAAAAGGGACAGTTTCCAATACTCTCTCCATCACTTCCAGCCTATTAAAAAAAGACCTCAGTTCATTTGTTTGTTCAAATATGCATTCTAGGAAATAAGCTAGTTGCTGGCACAAAGTTGAAATTCCTTAGTCTCAAGGATTTTACCACCTGTGGGCAGAGAGAGATAATGAATCATATAATCTTATTTAATATAAAACTAGAAGTATGATGAATACATAATAATATAAAAATATAAATAAAGTTTATATATTACCAGAATTTATATAATAATTTTCTTATTGATGAGCACTTAGAATATTCCAAATTTTTTGCTATTCTAAGTACTTCAGCAACAAACATTTCTGGGCATAGAGCTTGTTCAGCTTCTAAGATTATTCATTTGGGGTTAATCATTAAAACAAGAAAGCCGAGTAAAAAAAAGCATGCACATTTTCCATTTTGACATATCCATATTTTTCTGTTAGGGTAATAATGTTTTCCTTATTATTTGGAAAAATTATTTGTATACTAAAGACATTAAATCTTTGTGATGCATGCTGTATGTGATTTTAAAAATACAGTTTATGTAAAATTTAAATTTACATAAAATCTATCATTCACTATGCAGTCTGGTTTTTCTGATCTGCTTATGTACAAAAAACATTTATTTTATTTTTATATTTTGTTTTAGCACAAAGATATTCTATTATGTTTTCTTCTAGTATCATCATACTTTTGTTTTTGTAGTTATTTCATCTATTTGGAATTTATTTTGGAGTAAGAGGTATATTAGAACTTCTGCCTTAGTGTTTTTAATTTTTTTTTTTACAAATAGTTAATAGTTGTCTTATCACTCATTAAAACAACTCATTTTTTCCTACTGATTGAAAACGCACTTTTATGCTTTGAAATTTTATATGAATTTAAGTTTATTTGTGGGCCTTCTCTTCATTCATTTACCTACTCACCCAACAAATATTGGCTAAACAAATACATGTTTAAAATATACTAGACATTATATATATAAAACTAAATATTAAAATAAAAATACTCTTCCACAATAATTCCCAATTTTAAACAGAGATAAATTCTTTGAATGAAGGAAGAAAGTGCATTTTGTGAGTATATAGCAGAGAAACCCAGAGAAATTTATGTGGAGTCTGTCAGGAAATCTTTTCCTGAGGAAGTGGCATTTAAGCTGAATTCAAAGGATGAGTAAGAATTAACTAGGTAAATGAGCATGAAGAAGGTATCCAAAACAGAGAGAATAGCATGTGCAAAGGCCATGCAATAGGTTTGAGCATGACATGTATAAAGACTGAAAGAACGTCATTGTGACTGGGATTTAGAATGTGAGGGAGAGAAGAGAAAAATTCAATAAGCTGGAATACATTGAGGCTAAGATCTTTCAAAAAAACTTAAAATGAAAAATGTCTAGTAGACAAAACATATTTTAAAGAACTCTTACAACTCAGCAGCAAACTACTCACATTTTAAAAAGGGCAGGATATTTGAAACACTTTACAGAGAAAGATAAACAGATGATAGAGACATGAAAAATGTTCAAAATCATTAGTCATCAGGGAAATGCAAATTAAAGCCACAATGGGGTACCATTAGTGGGATAGGGTACAAAAGAGTTAGCAGGAATGTGGAGCAACTGGAACTGTCATATACTGCTATCTGGAGTGTAAAATGGTACAGTTGATTTATAAAAGATGTTGTTAAAGTTAAACATATACCTATCACATGATCCAGCAATTCCAATCCTAGGTATTGACCCAGGAGAAATGAAAGTATATGACCATAGAAAGACTTGTACACAAATGTTTATAGTAACTTTATTTACAATAGCCCCAAACTGGAAACAACCCAAATGTCTTTTTTTTTTTAATTTTTAATTTTAAAGATGTGGGGTACAATTCATGGTTAAGTATACAAGTGTTCATTTTGCAGGTACCCTTGTTGATAAGGTGTGCCTCCCCCTCCCCTGGCAGTTTCCCACTACTGCCAATCTCTTTCTTATAGTATTGTGGTAGTTGTTCGGTTCATTTATAAGTGAGAATATGTGATACTCAGTTCTTTGTTTCTGTGCTAGATCATTCAGTATTATTGAGTAAGTCCATCCAAGTTGCTGCGAAGTGCATGATTTTGTCCTTTATGGCTGTGTAATATTCCATCATGTATATGTGCCACATTTTTTTATCCAATCCTTTTTCGATGGGCAGCATGGTTGGTTCCATGATTTTGCTATTGTAAATAATGCTGCAATAAACATGCATGTGAAGGTATCTTTTTCATAGCAAATGTCTTCCAGTGGATGAATGAATAAACACATCATGATACATTCATATAATGGAATACTTCAGCAATAAAAAGGAATGAGGTATTGATGCTCACAACAACATGTATGAATCTCAAAATAATTATGCTGAGTGAAAGATGCCATGCAAAAAAGGAGTACATTCTGCATAATTTCATGTATAGAAAATTCTAGAAAATGCAAGCTTAGAAGAAAGCAGATCAGTAGTTCACTGGGGTGGAGGAAAGTAGTGGGATAGGGTAGGGAAGATTGACTGTGAAAAGACATAAGGGAACTTTTTGAGGTGATGAAAATATTCTATATTTTGATTGGAGAAGTGATTATATGTGTATACACATGTGTCAAGTAATTGAACTGCACATTTAAAGTGGGTGCATTTTATTTTGTGTAAATTATGCATTAGCTACTGTTGCTATCTTTTTCATGTTTAGAATGTTAGATCACAAACACAATGAAAAAAGTTCAAACAGCAGAGCAAACAATAACACTCAAATAAATGATGTACAGGGTTTGTAGACATTGCAATGACAAAGGTAATGTTATGACTATGGAAAAGGGACACCTAAGAAATAATAAAGAATAAGTTCTCTGGAGGAAAGGAAGTCAAGGATCTGATATGCTAGAGTGTTGGAAAGGTCACCCGTGGAGACATTAAAATTACCAAGAATTATAACAAGAGAGACTGGAGAGAGTAGTCTATTGAAGAAAAAAATGTACTTCTTACAGCTGTTCTGATCTGTTATTTATGGCAATATTAAGGTCTCAGAAACCCTGGGCATAATTTCAATTTTTTGACAAATTTTTCTTTCCCCGGCACTGAGTGTGACAGAGAAAATGGTATTTATTGTTGCTTTTGTGAGGGCAGAGAATGAAGAGGTATGGGAAGAGGCAACCAACCATGGCAACTGCATTTCTGGTGTTACCGAAGTCAGACTAAGGATTCAAACAGAACTGAATTTAGTGAGTGAAAACATGATTAGGGGTGGGAGGCAGGAAGAAGATTGGAGTCTGATAATAGATGTAGCAGGAAGGGTGGATCGCCTTTTACAAAAGGAGAGTCAAAACACTGAGGTGTGGGGGAAATGCAGTAAAGTTTTACAGGAAAACTGAAGTTTTTTTTTCTCGTTTTATGTTATGCTTATTTAAAGTGCCAACACAAAATTTTAGAATATAACTTCCCTAGGCTGATTGAGGAATTATCAAACTCTTAAGTATGTTTAGCTGGCAAAGACAGGATGTGGTCATTCTCCAAAACAATATTTTTTTCATTGTGTTTGTGATCTAATATTCTAAACATGAAAAAAATAGCAACAATAGCTAATATTTATTTAGTGTTTATTACATTTACCCATACTGGAGTGCAGTGGCATGATCACGACTCACCACAGCTTCTACATCCTGGGTTCAAATGATCCAGCCACTTCAGCCTCTTGAGTAGGTGGGACTACAGGCACATGCCACCATACCCTGCTAATTTTTCTTATTATTTGTAGAGACAAGATCTCTCTGTGTTGCCCAGGCTGGTCTCCAACTCCTGGGCTCAAGTGATCCTCCTGCCTTGGTCTCACAAAGTACTAGGATTACAGGTGTGAGCCACTGTTCCATGCCATGCTTTTATTTTTATTTTCATTTTTGAGTTGGAGTCTCTGTCGCCCAGGCTGGAGTGCAGAGGCATACTCAGGGCCACCGCAACCTTGACCTGCTGGGCTCCAGCAATCCTTCCACCTCAGCCTCCAAGTAGTTGAATTTTTAAAAATTACTCATTGACCAGGTGCAGTGGCTCAAGCCTGTAATCCCAGCACTTTGGGAGGCCAAAGCGAGTGGATTGCCTGAGCCCATAGGTTCAAGACCAGCCCAACAACTTGGTGAGACCTTGTCTCTACAATAAATCAAAAACTAGCTGGGTGTGGTGACGTGCACCTGTAGTTCTGGCTCCTTGGAAGACTGAGTCAGAAGGATTGTCTGAGCCCAGAAGGTCGAGGCTGTGGTGGCCTGGGCAACAAGAGCGAGATGCCAACTCAAGAAAAAAATTACTCATTCACAAATCAAAACCACAGTGAGATAGCATCTGACACCAGTCAGATTGGATATTATTAAAAAGTCAAACAAAAATAAAGACAAAAACCAGCAGATACTGGCAAGACTAGGAGAAAGGGAATGCTCATACACTGTTGGTAGAAATGTAAGTCAGTGCAACCCCTGTGGAAAGCAGTTTGAGAATTTCTCAAGAACTAAAAATAGATCTGCCATTTGACCCAGCAATACTACTACTGGGTATATTCCCAAATGAGCATAAATCCTTCTACCAAAAAGACAACAGCAGTCATATGTTTATTGAAGCACCATTCACAACAGTTGAAAGCCTGGAATCAAACTGGGCTGGATACATAAAATGTGGTATATACACACCATGGAATACTACACAGTCATAAAAAGAACAAAATCATGTCATTTGCAGCAACATGGATGTGTAGCTGGAGACTATCATTCTAAGAGAATTATCACAGAAACGGAAAGCTGAATATCACATGTTCTTACTCATAAGTGGGAGCCAAACACTGGGCACACTCAAGCACAAGGTTGGGAACAACAGACACTGGAGGGACTACTAAAGTAGGCAAGGAGGGAGAGGGAATAAGGGGTGAAAAACCACCCGTTGTGAACCAGTTTGCTTGCCACGTGGGGGGGGGTTGGGCTCAACAGAAGCCCAAATCTCACCATCAAGCAATATACCCATGTAACAAACCTGAATATGCACCCCTTGAATATAAAATAAGATAAAAATGTCAAAAATTACTCATTAGCATTTTTGACCCTTCTCACCCCCTATACTCTCTGCTAGCAGTTTCCATGAGACTTCTAGAGAACTGTGAAACACATCTTAAAGCAAAACCAAACAAAAACTTGGACCAGATGATACTCAAGTTTCTTTCAGAAATGTCATTACATAAAGTTACATCTAAAACATTTCATGTGATAAGATTCTAGGAAATTTTACTATACAGCTTGCCCAACTGAAAACAATTGAATAATACTATTTTAAAGGATTGGAATTCTGACTCTGCCATTCACTAAGTATATGATCTTGGACAAAGTTAATTGGCTGCTCTTTGCTTTAGTTCTTGTATTCATAAAATGGGGTTAATAATGAGCCACCTAGCATAGTGCCTACCATATAGTAAGCACCCAATAAGTGATTGGTTATTTTCAACTGAGCTATTATAATTCAAAATTTGCTCATCCAATGTGTGATTCGTTAAACTCTTCGGTCCAGATTACCACCAAAATATGGAATATCTAAGAAGCTAAACATACAGATCAATGCCAATAACTGATTTGAGGAGTCTGATTGAATTGAATGAAAACATCATACAAAAGAAACAACTTGTTCACCCTATGAAGAGCTATTACTTCTGGTTTGGAATTGGTAAATGTAAAAATACAGTTAGGAAATTAAGACTAATTTACAGCTTAACTGTCTAAGCAGTCATATGTTTTGCTACAATCCAGAGATAGGAGAAGTAGCTCTTATATCCCATAGTCCAGCAAACACTTAATTGGATTACCTAGCTATGCAGGAATTCAAGGGTCTCTCTTATAATTTTGAAAAGATAATATTCTTGGTGTATATATGTGACCAGTTGTTAAATAATCTAAAATGGCTACAAAAGTATTACTTTGACCAACAGGTATTGATTTAACTTAACATTTGATAAGCATATCTTAGTTTATGTCTTTGCACGCCATCAGGAGACTACATAGTTTTAGAGGCAAGTTACATAAACTTCATTTCCTTAGTATACTCATCTAGAAATGATGAGGACAATATTACAATGCAGTAAGTACTAAAAATTTTAATAAAGTAATAATAATTACAACTATCATTACTACTACTGATAATACTAGTACTATGCTACTACTATTTATAACAACCTATCTCCTAAGTTGCTGTTAGGACTAAATAAGGATATGTTTAGGAAAGGGCCAGGCACAATATAATAATTTGTTGTTATTATTATTATTACTATTATTATTATCCTGAATGCTTCCAGTAGTCAGTGAAAATAGAGAGAAAAATCAAACAATTAATGTAAACAAGGATTTAGTAAGCTACTTAATTTGTACTTGGAATAACCCATATTTTTTTTTTCTTGATGAGCTAATTTGGAGACACATGTTCCTTTCTCCAGCTTTAGGGGTTTTCCAAAGTGCTTTTCTGAAAAGTTAAGACATCAAAACAAAGCAAAACAAAAAACTCCAAGGCAGACCACAAAGAAGCAGCAGAGCATTCTAAAATGCCTCTTTTTTACTTAACAGGTACATAGACACCGGTTTTTTTCTACCACAGTGTCCATGTGACCCCACTGTGATGTTTGTTCACAGTGGGAGAAGTTTACAAAGTTCTGTATTGGCTATGTGTTAAAATAAGGTTCTCAGGCCATTTTTGGCCCTCTCCCCACTCCATTCAGATCTTCCAAAATCTGTCTCATAAAAAAACACGGATTGTGAGAACTGGAAAGTCCTTAAGAATCGCTTTGACAGGCTTCTTCACTGTATAGATGGAGAAACAAAGGTCTGGAGGGAAGGAGGGATTTTTCTAAGGTGACATAGGAAGCTACTGAGAATACAATTTAGTCTCTCGGACTACTAACCAGTCTAGTGCTCTTTTCACCACATCACCCTGCTTTTCTCAGAAGAGATCTGTTTTCCTGTTGTCATCTAAGAGCAGCCACATACCCAGGCATTCTTCTAGGACTCAGAGTAGGAAAATAATCACATAACTCTTTCCTATCTATAATCCAAGTGTTGAGATTTTTTAGGAAGCTGAAGTTCAGTGTCAAAAAATAATACATTCTATATGCAGTTATTATAGCTGGAAAACTTACCTTCACAAAAAGCTCAATTTCAGGGTCCACTTGAATGTCGGATCTCAGGCCTGACATCTTTCTGTCTTTATTGCCAGTTGTTAGCCCCTGCCTCCTACAGAGTCTGCAATACTTGTAGACTCTTCCTCCAATGTTATTTGAAGGCTCAAGTAGTATTGGTGTTTTAAGAGGAGAGTTTAGCGTCTAGTGGGCTGAGTCAGACCTGGGGGCAGTCTCTTCTCTCCAGAGGTGGGACGCAGAAAATTCTAGATGCTTAAGAGCAGCTCTTGAATTCGTTTTCCGTCTTCCTCTTGACCTAACATTTGAAATGAGGAGGAGCCAAAGGGGTGTGTGTAGACTGGCTGGCCAGAAGGGTGGGGGTGTTTCCAGAGAGGCTTCAATGCCATGAGTCAGCATAGGAGAAACACATACACATAAACACACACATGCAGTGCTAGCTTCTATATGTCGAGCAGACCAGATGTTCTCTAGAGCCTCCCTTCAAGTCCTGGGCTCCATGCCCAGAAAAGGGCCTCTTTTTACTGTTCCTGTAACCTGACAGCTCTTCCAGGAAAAGGGCCAGAAATGACTTGAAATTTTATTATTGGAAAGGATGTTTATCCAATGATACTGTCTAAATGAGTGTTAAAATTTGTACTTTATCAAATGTTTCCACCCCCAATTCTACTGCTTACACAGTCAGATTTCTGTTCTGGGTTGCAAATTTCACTTCTCTCTATACTATAACCAGGGAATATTAAATGTGGTGGTTGAGTCTGGGGGCTTGTTTAGTGTGCCCCACCTAGTTCTTCATTTCTGGAAAGTGTAGACTGGGACAGATCACTTCCTTGTTTTGGCATCTGAACCAGGAACCACAAATAGTTCTGTAATCTCTGCTTGTCAACCCTGGGAATAGTGGTAAAATAACCAAATAGATCCTTCAGTGTTTACAATGCTTCTGGTAGCTGTGTTTTCTGCCTGCCAAGGATGGTGAGGGGAACCCTAGGATTAATAAATCTCTGGTGGGAAGAGTGTCTTCCTCCTTGGAGCTAAAATGAACATAAATACACCGGTAGGTCACCACCATGACCCTCTTTCTACAACATCAACCACCACCCATTGTCATATGGGCTGTACATGCACCTGCCATTGCCCTGTTGCTATGGTTTGAATGTAACCTCCAAAATTCTTGTGTGGGCAATGTAATTCCCAATGCATCAGTGTTGGAAGGTGGGGCCTTTAGGACGTGGTTAAGTCATCAGGGCTCTGCTGTTGTCACAGGATTGGGTTTAATGTGTAAAGAGAGAGTGGGTTTATGACAAAAAGTGAGTTTGGCCCTCTCTTGTTCTCTCACATGCTCGTTTTCACCATGTGATGCCTTCCACCATTTGAGAATACAGCAAGAAGCCCCTCACCAGATGCAACCCCTTGGTCTTAGACTTTCCAGCCTCCAGAACCAAGAACCACATAACCTTGTGTTGTTTATAAGTTACCCAGTCTGTGGTATTCTGCTATAGTAGCACAAAATAGACTTAAACACACATGTAAAGATTTACAGGATAAGAGGCTCTGCAGAACCTGTTCTTTGCCACACCTGCAGGTTCTAGACAAGGAGTGGCTGATGTGACGGTGAGTGTTCTTCTGGATGACACTGGGACCTGATGATTTTCCAAATGTTCTGGAAAATTAGAAGGACATCAGCTGAGCTAACCTTAAGTGTGATTTTACGGCTGGCTATTTGGCAAGACCTGGTGACTATTAGCCACATTTTGACGCCATTCATGATACTCTATTCATTCACTCCAAAGGCAATCAACGAATGCCTACTCTGTGCTAGGATGCTGATCCACTCACTGAGGTGGACAGCACCAGAGGGCAGCAAGCCTGAAAGGAAACAGGAACTTTAAGCATGCTCAGTCTGAGGCATTCTTACCTTTTCCCACTCGCTACATCTCATCACTACAAAATCTTGTCACTTCTATATCCTAAATATTTAAAAACATTTCCACTTCTTTTTGCTACCATGGCTAATCCAAATTTCAAGCTAGCAACATTCTTTTAGAATCATTTTAAATGCTTATTTTGAAAAACCAAATCATTGTGTGACCCTCAGCTCTCATGGGAAAATTACTATCCCTACCATTATCACTATCACACAACCACAGCAACAACAAACAACAGCCTAATCACCTCTGTAAGATCCCTAATAAATTGTCAGAGTAAAGAGAGGAGCTTTCTCTTTTTTCTTGCTTCCCAGAGTGTTAAAATGTGTCTAGGATTAATTTACATACCAGACAATTCACTTATTTAAAGTGATATTACAAGTTTATTGATGGTGCAACCATCACTACAATCTAATTTTAAGAACATTTTCATCACTTCAATATGGCATCTCCCTTGCCCATTTGCAGTCAATTCCTGTTATCATCCCCAGTGTTAGGAAACTACTAATCTACTTTCTGTCTATGGATTAACCTATTCTAGACATTTCATATAATGTAATCATGAAATCTGTGACCTTTGTGTCCAGGTTCTTATACTTATAATAACATTTCCAAGATTCATCCATGTTATAGTATAAATCAATACTTCATTTTCATGGCTGAATAATATTCCATTGCCTAAATAAACCACATTTTGTTTACTCATTCATCAGTTGATGGGTATTTGGATTGTTTTAACCTTTTGGTTACTGTGAATATAGTACTGCTATAAACATTTGTCGTACAAGTTTTTGGTTGAACACCTGTTTTCAGTTCTTTTGTGAATATACCGAGGAGTGGAATTACTAGGCATGGGGTAATTCTATGTTTAACATACTGAGAAAACTCCAGACTGATTTTCCACAGCAGCTGTTCTACTTCGCATTTCCAACTGCAGTGTATTAGGGTCTTGATTTCTTCACCTCTTCACCAAAACTTGTTTTCCGTTTGCTTTGTTTTATTTATAAAGCCCTCCTGGTGGGTTTGAAGTGATACCTTTTGATGGTTTTGATTTACATTTCCCAGATGACTAATAATGTCAAGCATCTTTTCATGTGCTTGTTGGCCATTTGCATATTTGATTTAGAGAATTATCTACTTAAGTACTTTGCCCATTTTTGTTTTGAAAGCAGAATTTATTGAGAAGACAGAAAAGCTCCCATAGTGACTTTGCCCATTGGATTGTCTTTTTGTTGTTGAGTTGTAAGAGTTCTTTTGGATACTAGACCCTTTTCAGATATATAATTTGCAAATGTGTTCTCCCCGTCTTGTCTTTTAATTTTATTAAGGATATCTTTTGAAGGGCAAATGTTTTGAATTTTGATAAAGTTCAAGTTTTATTTTTTTCTTTTATGGATTTTGCTTTTTGGTATTGTTTTTAAGCTTCTTAACCCAACATCATGAAAATTTTCTTCTATGTCTTCTTATAAATTTTTACCTTTTTGTGTTAATTTTTGTGTATGGAGTGAGGTAGGGATCTAAATTCACCTTTTCATGTGCAAATATCTCATTGTTTCAGCAAAAAAAAAAATTGACTATAAATGTAAATTTCTGGATTCTCAGTTCTGTTTTATTGATCTATATATCTTTAGTTTTATGCTGGTAACAGACTTAATAACTGCTTTATAGTTAAGTTTTAAAACCAGAAAGTGAAAGTCTTCTCATTTTCTTTCTTATTTTGCAAAGTTATTTTGTCAATTTTGGGTTCTTTTCCCTGCCAGATACATTTTAAGATCAGCTCATAAATTTCTGCAAAAATGCCCACTAAAATTCTGGAAATATGTTGAATCTATGTATCAATTTGAATATTGCCATGTTATCAATATTGAGTTTTAAAATTCGTGAACATTGACTTTCTATCCATTATTTAAACTTTATTTATCTTTCTTCAATGATATTTTCTAGTTTTTATTGTATGAGTGCTACACTTATTTTGATAATTTTATTCCTAAGCATTTTATCTATTGATCTATCATATCTATCTATCATCTACTATCCATCTATATAATCTATCTATCATCTACATAATCTATCTCTATTTTAGAGACAAGGTCTCATCCTGTTGCCCAGGCTGGAGTGCAGTGGTACAATGATAGCTCACAGCAGCCTAAAACTCCTGGGCTCATGCAATCCTCACACTTTAGCCTCCTGAGTGGCTGAGACAACAGGCACATGCCACCATATCTGATGAATTTTTAATTTTGTAGATATTGCCAAGGCTAGTCTCAGACTCCTGGTTTCAAGTGATTCTCCTGCCTTGGCATCCCAAAATGCTGGGATTATAGTCATGAGCCACTGCACCCAGTCCATTTTATTTGTTGATGCTATTATGAATGAAAATATTTTCCTAATTTTATTTTTAAATTGGTCATGCTAGTATATAGCAATAAGATTGTTTTTTATAAAGAAATTTTTATTTTGGAATAATTTCAGATTTACAAAGTTTCAAAGATAGTACAGACAACCCTCACTCAGTTTTTAAAATCACTAATATCTTATATTACTATGGTACAATTATCAAAACTAAGAAATTTCACATTTGCTACATTGCTATTAACTACATTCCAGACTTTATCTGAGGCTTCCCGTTTCACTCCACTAATCTCTTTTTTGTTCCAGAATCCCTTCCAAGAAATCCCATCACCTTTTTTTCTTTTTGAGTTGGAGTCTCACTCTGTCACCCAGACTGGAGTGCAGTGGCCGCTCCCAGCCACCGCAGCCTCGACCTGCTGGGCTCCAGCGATCCTTCCGCCTCAGCCTTCCAGGTAGCTGGAACTACAGGCATGAGCTACCACGCCCGGCTAATTTTTTTGATTTTATTGTAGAGATGAGGTCTCACCAAGTTGCCCAGGTGGGTCTCGAACCTGCAGGCTCAGGCAATGCACTCACCTCAGCCTCCCAAAGTGCTGGGATTACAGGCTGAGCCACTGAGCCTGGCTCCCATCACCTTTAGTTACCATTTCTCTATAAGTCTTCTCTCATCTGTGACAGTTCTCACTCTTTCCTTGGTTCTCCTGACATTGGTAACTTTGAGCATTTTATAGAATCCCTCTATTTGAGTTTATCTTATGTTTTTCTTCTGATTAGACTGAGGTTATTGGTTTGAAGAAGAATAGTGAAATAGTGAAGTTCTCTTCTCATCACATCATATCACATACATGCTATCAACATGACTTATCACTGATTAGGTCAACCTTCAACATTTAGCCAAGGTGATGTTTGGATGGATTTCTCCATGTAAAGTCACTATTTGCCTCACCCGCTTCCATACTGTATTCTTTGGAAGCAAGTCATTAAACCCATACTGAATGTTGGAGAGAGAGATTAAGATTTACCACCCAGAGGGATTTGTATCTACATAAATTACTTGGAATTCTTCTCTAAGATTTGTCTCTGCTTACCCATCTTATTCTTTACCAAATACTTTATATTAGTATGGAATCACGTATATTTATCTTATACTTTGAATTATAACCCAGAACCTG